GGGTGGGGGGAGTGGAGGGGGCGGCCATGCATGTAAATCTAGCACTTGGGAGACAGAGGTTTGGGGGTGGGGTAGGAGTGGTATCTCTAGTTCCAGGCTAGCCTGAGCTATATAGCAAGACCCTGGTGTGTGTGTGTGTGTGTGTGTGTGTGTGTGTGTGTGTGTGTGTGAGAGAGAGAGAGAGAGAGAGAGAGAGAGAGAAACAGCCAGTCAGTATATGGATTTTGGGTTACATTTGTTTTGTCACATACCACCATGCCCAGCTCTGAGGCATTTTCTTAATTGTTAATCAATGTAAGAGTGCCTAGCCTCTTACAGTGCCATGCCTGGGTGAGTGAGCCTGGTTGTGTCAAAAAGGTAAGTGATAGGCTAGAGAGTTGGCTCAGCAGTTAAGAGCATGGGCTGCTCTTGCAGAGGACCTGGGTTTGGTTCCCAGTACCCACATCGTGGCTAACAATCGTCCATAACTCCAGTTTCAGGGGATCTGACATACTCTTGTGAAATTGGTGCACTTACACTACACACATGCAGGCCTAACACTCATACACATGAAATAAAAATAATAAATAAAATACTTTAAAATTTTTTTAAAAAATTAGGCCGGGCGTGGTGGCACACGCCTTTAATCCCAGCACTTGGGAGGCAGAGGCAGGCGGATCTCTGTGAGTTCAAGGCCAGCCTGGTCTACATACTGAGTTCCAGGACAGCTGGGGCTACAGGGAGACCCTGTCTCAAAAAGACAAAAAATAAATAAAAAATAAAAATAAATTAAAAACAAGATCCCTCCCACCGTGGATATCCCTGGAGGTCACTCTCCCCAGGCTCTGTCTTAGTGGTGTAGGGGAGCATAGGGCTCTGCCCTGTGATGTACGGTCCCTTTCCACGACATTGGAGATGAAGCTGGGCTTCGAGTCCGCGCCTGCGTAGTCCTAAGACTTCTCAAAGTCCTGTGGATGATGACTGGAGAGACAAGCCATGCAGGAAACAGTCCTAGATAAATTGAAAAAAAAAAAACAAAAAAAATCCCTGGGCTGGCCAAATGGTTCAGTGGGTAAAGAGGCTTGTCTCCAAGCCTGACAACCTGAGTTCAATCTCTGTGATCCACATGGTAGCAGGAGATCTTTTTTTAAGAATATCACTCTTTAGGCTGGAAAGATGGCTCAGTGGTTAAGAGCACTAACTGCTCTTACTGAAGACCAGAGTTTAGTTCCCAGCACCCACATGGCAGCTAACAACCCTTTACAACTCCAGTTCAGGGGCTCGGACGCCCTCTTCTGACTGCCGAGGGCATTGCATGCCATGGGGGCACTTAAATGCTAGCAATATATACATATAAAATACACATAAAATAAAAATAATTTTTTTTTGGTCTTTTTGAGACAGGGTCTCCCTGTAGCCCCAGCTGTCCTGGAACTCACTATGTAGACCAGACCAGGCTGGCCTTGATTTCACAGAGATCCTCCTGCCTCTGCCTCCCAAGTGCTGGGATTAAAGGTATGTACCACCACGCCAAGCAAATGTTTTTTTTTTAAAAAAAACAATATTACCCTAAAGTATATTAAGAATATATATTTGACCTGGTTTTTAACTTGACCTTTGCAAAAGAGTCTTTTTCTCAGGATGCTATACTTCTTTAAAAATTTACTTTCTGCCGGGCATGGTGGCACACGCCTGTAGTCCCAGCACTCAGGAGGCAGAGACAGGTGGATCTCTGTAAGTTCAAGGCCAGCCTGGTCTGGTCCACATAGTGAGTTCCAGGACAGCTGGGGCTATTGCTTTCCAAGGTTGGCGGTGTAGCTGGTGGAGCGCTTGCTTAGCCGTTCCATCTCCGTTCTCTGTGGTAGTGTTTACCTGTGATCCTAGCATCTGGGAGGTAGAGGCAGGATGATCGAGCCTTCACAATCATGTTCAGCTACACAGCAAGCTCAGGCTGGTCTGGGATACATGAGACCCTGTGTCAAAACAAATCACACAAATGGGGGGGAGGGTGCGAGGTAGGCAGAGAGAGATGTAGAGACAGAGATACACGTGGAGAAGCCCCATGCAAGGGCACTGAGGGACTCAGAAGGGAGTCTTGCTCTTGCTAGGCAGGAAATGACAGGGAGGAATTATGTCACCGACCTGTGCAAACACTTCCTCGCTGCCAGGGTACTCTTCTAGCTCAGTAAGATGTTTACAAAGTCCTTGCACACGCTGGCTCCACCTGTCCCTCCAGCCTCCTCTCTCAGCACCCCCACCCTTTGCACACACACCCCAACACATTCTAATAAAGGAGAGCATGTAACTGTTCTCTCAGACCCGGCACCCCTTGGGCACACCATCCCTGCCTGGGAAGGGCTCTTCCAAGCCTTCTGCCCTCAGATGTCACTTTCCTGACCTCCTTGTCTGGGGTAGATATAACCCTTAAGATGCTAGTCCAGGAGCTGGAGAGATGGCTCAGTAGATAACAGCACTGGCTGCTCTTGCACAGGACCCAGTTAGTTCCCAGCATCGACATGACGGCTAACAACCATCTGCAACTCCAGTTCCAGGGGATCTGACACCCTCTTCTGGCCTCTGTGGGCATTGCATGACACGGGTGCACTTACATACATGCAGGCAAAACACTCATACACATAAAATTTTAAATTATTTTTTTAAGATTCCAATCCAAGGAGCTGGAGAGATGGGTGAGTGGTTAAGAGTGCCTGCTGCTCTTGCAGAGAACCTGGCTTTGATTCCTAGCACCCACGAAAGGCTCACAGCCTTCTGTAACTCCAGTTGCAGGAGACCTGACTTCTGGCTTCTGCAGGCACTTGCACTCACGTGGCACACATATGCACAAGTAGGTATACACACATATACATAAAGTAATAAAAATACATCTTTTTAAAAAGAGACTCCAATCTCAAGGGCTAGGCCTTTAATTCCAGCATTTGGAAGGCAGAAGCAGGCAGAACTCTGGGAGTTCATGGCCAGCCAAGGCTGCATAGTGAAAGCCTGCCTCAAAACAAGCAAACAACAAAGCAAAAACGAAGAAGAAATATTTTTTAAAAATAAGGTGGAGGGCTGGTGTGATGGCTCAGCAGTTAAAAGCACAGGCTGCTCTTGCAGAGGGCCTGGGTTTGGTTCCCAGCACCCACATGGTGGCTAACAACCATTCATAACTCCAGTTTCAAGGGATCCAACACCTTGTTCTGACCTCCACGGGCATTGCATGACACAAATGCACATACGGGTTTACATACATACAGACAGACAGACAGACAGACAGACAAAACATTCATACATATAAAATAAAAATAATAAATAGAATATTTTAAAATAAGGTAGAGGTTATCTCTACCATGGAACTCCCTCCACTTGGGAATTCGTTCTCATTTCTCTTTTAAAAAATCTATATTTGCTCTGCTAATAAATAAAGCAGAGAGCAATTGAGGAAAACACTGGATTTTGACCTCTGACCTCCATACAAATACACATGCAGGTGTATGAACATGTACACACACAATAAATAAAGGACCACCTGCTTCCAGCCAGCTTGATTGATTCGCTTCTCAGAAAATAATTGAGACAGTTATAACAAAACGATGCCTAATTGTACAAAACACCATAAAGAATGCATAACGCACAGGAAGGATCTACAGGACACATTGAGTGTACCCAGAGTACAGAACAATATGTGGAGTACGAAGGGGAGAGAATACATTCAGAGTGGTTCCCTCCTCATCCGTGGGCAATAGTCCATGAAACGCAGTAGATTCCTGGCCCCAGAAGCAGTGCTGAATCCTATGCATACTGTGATTTTTTTTCTCATACACACATACGTATAATAAAAACATATGATCAAACTTACATTTACATATAAACTTACATGGTCAAAGAATACGTGACTGCTGAGTGTGCAGGTCTAACTAGGATCTGTATCAATACCCCCTGCCCTGCTCAGAGAGCATCACAGAGGAGCAGGCAGAAAGCATGTAAGAGCTGGGGCTGGGGAGGAGAACTGCAATTGCCGTCTTCTGAACATGGCAAGGATGCTGCACTCATGTGCTTACAGCTGCTGTTTTTACACGTACAAGATCAAGCCAAGATCAGCCAACCTTCCAGCAGGGACAGGGCATGGGGGAGGACTGGCAAGGCCCTGCCCTCAGTGAAGGCCATTGGTAGTTGATGGCTGCTGAGGACTGGAGAGCCGATTTTCCTTATGATGCAGCCTCTTACAGGTTTCCCATACTCCAGTAGACACCCCACGCCCGAGCACACATGGAAAGCACTAATTGGATTCAATGAGTTATATTTAAAAAAAAAAAAGCAGGTGCGGTGGTGCACGCCTTTAATCCCAGCACTTAGGAGGCAGAGGCAGGCAGAGCTCTGTAAGTTTGAGGCCAGCCTGGTCTACACAGTAAGTCAAGGTTGCATAGTCCTCAAACAAAAAGGACATAAAATGGGAAGGGGACAAGACAGTCCTTATCTGTCCATAGACACATTTATGGATCATGATGTCACATGTGAAGCTTATTTTGAATTACTCCTAAAAATGTAAAAACAAAGTTTATGATAAGGGGAGGCATATAAAATAAACTTGTTAAAGCATTACTTGTTTTGGAGTAAGGTAAAGACACATGGTGGGTTAATTAAATGGTTTTCTTTGTTTTAGGATATGCTTGGAGACTTCCCAAAGACATTGATAACAACATCAAATTAAATGAACGCTGTTATGTGTGAAGGGTCTGAGCCAAAAATCTGCTCCCTCATTAAAGACGGGAAAGATTAGCAAGCGCTGGAAAGATGTTAGCAATTTTGCAGCTTCAGACTAAGTCTTTCTCCTTAATGTGATCCAAAAAGCCCTTGAAAATCACTCATTATGCATTCCATGGCTTTTCGTGATAAAACGTTCTTCAGTATAAAAATGGCAAACATCCTTCCTTGGGCAGCTGTGGCATTGTGGTGAGGCCAAGGCTGGGGGCAGGAAATAAAACCCAAGTCCCTCTTGGTCACCTTGTCTCTGAATTTCCCTAACCTCAGCTTCCTGTTCTATGAGATGGAACAGGTCAGACTAAAAGATCCCCAGGCCCCTGCAGGTCTGTGATGCAGTAAGAGGTCAGTAAGTCCTGAGTTATTCAGCCATCACTTGGGAAATACCTTCTATTCACCACCATGCTCCGGGGGTGCAGGTGGAACAGGCCCCCAGATTCATATAACTCATGGCTACCTGCGATCTACCATTTCCAAGAGAACCCTGGTCATTCTGAAAAAGACCCAGGCCTCGAAGCATATCGCAGAGAGAAGGTTGCCTTTCCTACACCCCCTGTAGGTTCAACTATCTAGAACTTTCCTCCGTTGGTCATCGGCATTTCAGTTTGTTAAATTTTATTTTATAGTGAGGAATGAATTCCAAGGTGTCACATAGGCAAGTGTTCTGCCACTGAGCTACACCCCCAGGCCTCTCTGCATATATGAACAGATGTTGCTTCCTGTGACCAGGGATTGCAATGTTCTGATGGACCACCTGCAGGTCACTGGGTGAGGTCGGTCCACTCACGCACAATGGTCTGAGCATAAGTGGGGAGTGGGGTCCCGAAGAGGAGAATCTGGGTGCTTCTGTTAGAGAAAGGAGGGGTAGACTTCCAGGGAGTAGGGTATGCCAGCCCCCACCTAGTTATCTTACCTCGAGTTCTCACTAAACAATTCCAACAATTCTCATTTTCAAGTTTTTTGTTACATTTCCTTATTTATTGTATGTGTGGTGTGTGTGGGTGTGTGCATGCCATGGCATATGTTGAGACTGGAGGACAACTTGAAGGAGTCAGTTCTCTATTTCTACCGTGTGGGGTCTCAGTTATCAAACTCAGGTTGTCAGTTTCGGTGGCAAGCACCTCCACCTGCTAAACCATCTCACTGGCCCATTTTTCAATTATTTTTCAGAAATAACTTAAAAATTCTGTTATGCTTTCAAGTCATCTGATCCATGAGAACCAAACTAAATAATAAGTTGGGTTGGGATAGGG